GGTCTTTTCCAGGGAGTCTTCTCTTCTCATGAGGTGGCCAAAGTATTGGAGCCTCAGCTTCAGGATCTGTCCTTCCAGTGAGCACTCAGGGCTGATTTCCTTCAGAATGGATAGGTTTGATCTCCTTGCAGTCCATGGGACTCTCAAGAGTCTCCTCCAGCACCATAATTCAAAAGCATGCATTCTTTGGCAATCAGGCTTCTTTATGGTCCAGCTCTCACTTCCATACATCACTACTGGGAAAACCATAGCTTTAACTATACGTGTGACCGTAATAATAAAATTCAATTCAATTATCAGCATTCAGGGACAGTGAAACACTCAAGAACGGTGCAGAGCAGGGCCGGCCAGAGGTGTGGACTGGACTGCTCCAGATCTTGCAAATGGCTTTTGAGATTTCCCGCTGGAAGAGCGGGGAAGGGGAGGCACAATTCCCAGTAGTCGCAGGTTCCACAGCCCTCTCTAGCTCCTCAGCCATCCACATGGCAGGCATAGCTCAGTCAGTAGAGACTCTTAATCTCTGGGTTCGAGCCCCACTTGGGTAAAGGATTTCTGCATTGCAGGGGGGTGGACTAGATGACTCTTGTGGTCCCTAGTCCACAGGTGAGGGTTCCCTCTTTCCTCATTCCATTACCTCCCCTTCCCCTCATGGTTGCCTGATGGTATCTTTTCTGCCTATGCTGCCGGCAAAGCGATTTGTGGGAGCTAGGCTAAGGCAGACAGGCTCACAAGAAGGGATCAGTCACCATGAGAAGAGGCTGCCATTTTCTGTGGCATCCCCATGGCAACAGGGACATTTGCTGCGGCCTACCGTCCTCGCCAAACGAAAAGATGGGGGAATAAGTGCCATCCTGGAGGACTGTAATTGATTGGCCTCCAATCCCGGGACCGAAATTATTATTATTATTATTACCCTCCGAAAGTCTCTTTCTCACTTTTCCCTTTCTTTCTTTCCTCCTCCATCTCTTCCTCTCTCTAATCTAGACGCCACCAAAAGGAGAAGATGTGCTCATTTATAAAAAACAACCTGTCAGCACCTCAGTAATCCCAGGCATTAAAAATAGAGACCTTTCTCCTAGCCAGCTCGGCTGAGGAATGAATAATGCCGGGTCAGGAAGCGAGAACAGGGCAGAATAAATGAAAAAGGAGGAATCTGCCTCTTGGCTCTTATGCTGGGGGTCCCTTCTGAGGAATGGGTGATGGGAGGGTTGGCAAAGGAGGTTTGCAAAAGACAGAGAAGGACTCAAGGCAGGACCGTTAGTGGTCATATGGATCCTGCCTTCTGACCTCCTTTCTTTAGATTTCCATTCCTCTCCATCTTTGGCCTGTGCTCAGACTACAAAATGTCTTACTTTTGACAGCACTTTCCATGCATTGAGTCTGAACAGGAACGACATGTAGAGAGACATTTTAAGGCAGGAGCACTCACAGTGATCAAATCAGAAGCCGGGAGGACTTTCGTAAGTCCGGGACTGTCCCTGGAAAATCGGGACACTGGGAGGGTATGCCGTTTAGCTCTTTAAAGGTAAAGGGACCCCTGACCATTAGGTCCAGTTGTGGCCGACTCTGGGGTTGCGGCGCTCATCTCGCTTTATTGGCCGAGGGAGCCGGCGTACAGCTTCCGGGTCATGTGGCCAGCATGACTAAGCCGCTTCTGGCGAACCAGAGCAGCGCACGGAAACGTCGTTTACCTTCCCGCCGGAGTGGTACCTATTTATCTACTTGCGGTTTGACGTGCTTTCGAACTGCTAGGTTGGCAGGAGCAGGGACCGAGCAACGGGAGCTCACCCCGTCGCGGGGATTCGAACCGCCGACCTTCTGATCAGCAAGTCCTGGGCTCTGTGGTTTAACCCACAGCGCCACCTGTGTCCCTGTTTAGCTCTTTAGACTCCCCCCAAAAAACTGAGGGGTAGGAGGCCTCTGCATGAGGGGCCTGGTGGAGTCATTTCCCCACTGATGTCCACACAAACAAAGCTGGGAATTATTCAAAAGGTTGAAGAGGTGTTTTTTTCAGATGCATGGATTTCTGAGTCTGCTCGGGCCCCGAGGGACCAACAGCTCAGCCGCCGTGTGGGGCTAACTGATGGGAGTTGTAGTCCGGAACGGCTGGAGGGCGCCGGGTTGGCGAAGGCCGCCCCAGAACGGCTCGTTCATTCCCCGCTCCCCTCACCGGCTTGTCAGCACAGCCGGATTAGCTGATGAACTGGAGGGCTTGAAGCCTCGTCAAGAGCGAGAAAATCAATAGCAATTTATGCCTCTTTGGAGCCTGGCAGACCCAGGGACAGGCGGAGGGAAGCGACACAGATGAAGTGCAGGCGGGAAGAGAGGAAGATGTTCCTGCAGCAGCTCAGCTCATCTCCTCCCCAAAGTACTCAACCTACGTTCAGAAAAGGCTGCGGCTCCTCTGAGTCCTAGGCTCTGTGGTTTAACCCACAGCACCACCCGTGTCCCATTCAGGTTTCTAGACCATAGTAATTACCATATTTTTCCGTCTATAAGACGCCTCCATGTATAAGACGCCCCCTATTTGGGGGGATTCAGATTTAAGAAAATCCACCCTCGGCACTATCCGTGTATAAGACACCCCCTAATTTTTGACATTATCTTTTAGGGGGGAACCTAGTCTTATACACAGGAAAATACAGTAATTGATTAAACCATAAGGAGAGAAAGAAGGGGAGTCTCAACTTTCTCACTCAGCTCATTTGGCTCCAGTCCCAGCCTTTAAAACAAGCTCTCTCTCTCTCTCTCTCTCTCTCTCACACACACACACACACACACACCCTAAAATGTTTGGATAGATGCCTAGGAAAAGGCAGTTCAAAATTATAGCTTTAATTTATGGAGTGCCAGTTTGGAGGAAAGCTTTTCAGACGAAATTTCTCTTTAAAGGTGTAATGAATAAAATTGCAGCCCTCCTCTCTCACACACTTGATCTAATAAAATGTCTATATTTTTAATTATGTGGCGACTGGGGGTGGGGCGAGAGTCTTGGCCAGCCCGGAGAAGGGATCGTTTTAAATGAAAAAGTAAAAGAAACCGGAGCTCTTGATCGCTTTGATAATCTGCCCCCAGCTTAGCTTTTAGCATTGGGGGAGCGGGCAAAGGAAGTGGAAACTGTGGAGAAAGATGTTGTGGGACATGTGACTGAGGGGATTCCGAGTGTGGTCAATGCATGAGTAGGCAAACTAAGGCCCAGGGGCCGGATCCGGCCCAATCGTCTTCTCAATCCGGCCCACGGACGCTCCGAGAATCAGCATGTTTTTCCATGAGTAGAATGTGTCCTTGTATTTAAAATGCATCTCTGGGTTATTTGTGGGGCACAGGAATTTGTTCATTTCCCCAAAAAAATATAGTCCGGTCCCCCACTTGACCACTCAGCACCTTTCGATACCCATTTGAGCCGACTTACTGGGGTGACTGGGACACGGGTGGCGCTGTTGGTTAAACCATAGAGCCTAAGGCTTGCCGATCAGAAGGTCGGTGGCTCGAATCCCCGCGATGGGGTGAGTTCCCGTTGCTCGGTCCCTGCTCCTGCCAACCTAGCAGTTCGAAAGCAGGTCAAAGTGCAAGTAGATAAATAGGTACCGCTTTGGCGGGAAGGTAAACGGCGTTTCTGTGCGCTGCTCTGGTTCGCCAGAAGCGGCTTAGTCATGCTGGCCACATGGCCCGGAAGCTGTCTGCGGACAAACGCCAGCTCCCTCGGCCTATAGAGCGAGATGAGCGCCGCAACCCCAGAGTCGGTCACGACTGGACCTAATGGTCAGGGGTCCCTTTACCTTTACCTACTGGGGTGAGTATAGGGAGGCAAAGTTTCACGGGGCTCTGGACCCTATATCCTGGGTTGGCTTCAGAGAACAGCATTAGGTGAAGGCCTTTGGGCCCCTGGAAGGCGTGCTGTGGGCAGACAGGGTACCACCTCGTCCCCAATGCTGTTTAACACCCCCAGGCATCCTCCCACTTAAGCCGGGACCTGCTCCACAAAGGCCCACGGTGTGCTGGGAAACTGTTAAATAATTCAATTCCAACCTGTCTGCCTCGCTTTTGCTGACCCAGGAGGAGGGAGAAAGGTTGTTTTCTGCTGCTCCAGAGAAGTGGACACGGAGCAATGGATCCAAACTACAAGAAAGAAGATTCTACCTAAACATTAGGAAGAACTTCCTGACAGTAAGAGCTGTTTGACAGTGGAATTTGCTGCCAAGGAGTGTGGTGGAGTCTCCGTCTTTGGAGGTCTTTAAGCAGAGGCTTGACAACCATATGTCAGGAGTGCTCTGATGGTGTTTCCTGCTTGGCAGGGGGTTGGACTCGATGGCCCTTGTGGTCTCTTCCAACTCTAGGATTCTATGATTCTAGGAGGGAAAAATAAATAAATAGAAGCATTCTGGGAAATGATATATAATGAATCGAGGGGGAGAAACGTTTAAAAAAACTTTTATTTTTTTAAAAAAACAAAAAGTCACAGGCTTTTCTATTAGGAATTGTAGGTGCTGAAATTCTAAGGCAGCAGAAAATACTTTTCAAGTATGCGACGACAGCTGTGCAGATTTTATTGTCCCAAAGATGGAAAGAAGATAAAGTCCCTATCAGAGAAGAATGGCAGACAAAGTCAACGGACTATGCTGAAATGGCAAAAATGACCAGAAAGCTTAGGAACCAGGAAGACCAAAATTTAAAAAAGGAATGGGGGGAAATTATATAACTTATATTGAAGACCACTGTAAGCAGTTGAAAACGTTAGCAGGACTGCAGTAACACTCATGGTTTAACAAGAACTATGGACGCAATGGAGTTATAAAAATTCGGATTATTAAAAAAAGAGAGAGACGCAGTAGAAAAGGTTTCACAACAGAACCCACAGAGGGGAAGGGGGAAAGTACAGAGATTTGGAGGAATCTTGTAACTTTAGATGTGTTGCAATATGATTATAAATTTAAATATGTAAAACCAAATTTTAAAAATACATTGAACAAGCAAGGAAAGAAGCTGCATTGTTTACTTACACTGTTTCGTCATCTTTGAACTCCAGCTCCCCGCAGGAGTCTTCATAGTCCACTCCCCCTCCTCGCGCCGTCCCTTCCACCGTCTGGTAGGGGACCATGACCGTACCACGGGCCCCCGAACTGCGGATGACTTTGACTTCCAGGGTCCCTTGACACTCGCTGACCCTCAATAGTTTATCCTGGAAGGTGAAGATGCCGGCGTGGTCATCGTCCAAAATGGTCACGGTGGCCACCAGCGGCGCTACGAGCCTGCCCTTGGGGTGATCAGCTGAATCGGACTCAAACATGCCTTCGGCATCCCCCACCCGCAGGTTGAGCAGCCGGACGAAGAAGTGCTCATCCTCCTCAAAGATGTCATCATCGATGATGCCAATCTTCAGCTCTTTCTGCGTCTCGCCGGGCTTGAAGATCAGCGTCCCCTCACTGAACTCGTAGTCAGAGCCCGCCTTGGCCGAGCCGTCCTCCGTCTTGTAGTCCACGTAGAAGGTGTTGTAGGTGTCGCCGCCCTGCTGGCAAGCCACGGTCAACGTGACCGAGCCGCAGTTCTCCAGGCAGTGGTACATGCAGGGCTCGAAGAAGATCTTGCTGTAGTTCTCTTCCACCTCTGCTTCTGAAGGCACCTCCAGCAGGTTCACGGACTTCTTGGAGAACTCGGAGACGTGCTTCTTGAGGATGTTCCCCGCCCCTGTCATCATCCGCGTGGCCTGGATGCGGTAGAAAGCCCGGCTTTTCTGCTGGTGCAACAGGGCGTAATAGTTGGCCATCTCAACCAACTGGTCCAGCTCCTTGTCCGGGTGCTTCTGCTTGAGGTCTTTGAGGATCTGGATGACCTCCTTGCGGCTCTCGTCCAGCTCCTTCTCCTCCTGGGTGGTGATGGGGAGCGGGGCCACCGAGGCCGCGCTCCCATCCACAAAGACGCTCTCCCGGTGGTCATTGCCCACAAGCTGCCGTCCATCTCTATCCCCTTGGGGAACTCGCCCTCGGTGCCGATGATGATGCCGCTGCGAGGATCCGCCCGATACCTCTTGTAGACGTACTTGTAGAAGAGCAGGCGTTTGTCCGCCATCCAGGCGAAGACCACGCAGACCGGGAAGAAGACGAGGGTCAGCAAGGCCTCCCACACTTGCACAATCCCCGGTGAGAAGACGGCCAAGATCAGGTACAACCAGATGTAGGCGAAGATGCTCCAGGAAGCCGTGACGAAGAACACCCTCAGGTGCTTGATCTTGCGGCTCTCGCCGTTGGGGATAACGTAGACGCACACGGCAATGACCACAAACATGTTGAAGGCCGCGCTGCCCACGATGGTGCCAGGACCCAACTCGCCGGCTTGGAAGTTGTGGCCGCAGACCTCAATCACTGAGAGGAGGATCTCCGGCGCCGACGAACCCAAAGCCATGAGGGTGAGGTTGGAAACCGTCTCGTTCCAGATCCTCACAGTTCCAATGCTGGTCTCGCCGTTGGACTTGGTGATGGTGATCTCCTTCTCCTTGGAGGTGATGACCTCGATGGATGCCATGAAGCGGTCGGCGATGATGGAGACTCCCAGGAACATGTACATCATGGCAACAAAGTAGACGATGGCCCTGGCAGCCTTGTCGCCGAAGGATGGGTTGTCCGGCTGCCAGACGGGGAGCAGAACTCCCGGTTGACATTTGTTGGACCCTTCGCAGCTGCCATTGGCCTTTGTCTCGGCATCGTAGGCTCCGGCCCAAGAGGCGTTCTCGGCGAAGACGGCCGAGGCCACCAAGACTTTGGCGAAAGTGCAAGAGGTCAGCCACCACCCCCAATGCGACGGCAACATCCTCCTCGGGCAGTTCAGGCCAACAGGATCTGAAAGACAGCAAGTGATGGTCACTTTTAGATACGCCCCATGACAGAATGAAATTCAAGAACACGGAATTTTCATCTTGGGAAAAGCTACGGAGGGAGGGTTTAAAATTTACAATATGTTGTGCATTGAAGGAGACATATGGAGATGATGTCTCGGTGGTACTCGAACCCACCGCCCTTAGATTAAGAGTCTCATGCTCTACCAACTGAGCTATCTGATTTGCTCTAACTGTTATCTCTGTTTTACATACATGATAAAGCGGAATAAACATTCTTTACCCAAAACCAAGGTATATGCATCCTTATCTAGTATATGCATTGTTGTGCGCCTTGCTTGGCGGCAGAACTGCCGTGCAAAATTTGCAGAAGCGCACATTTGGAAGAACGGCGCTCTTTCAGTTTGCGGATTGCTTCAGAAAGTGCAAATTAGGTGTGTTCTCTAGCTGAATTGAATTCACACACACAAACACAACCCTAAAGGGAAGGCAGCGGGGAACTTTGCTCCTATTCCTGCCTGCATCAGTTACAGTGGTGCCTCGCAAGACGAAAATAATCCGTTCCGCGAGTCTCTTCGTCTAGCGGTTTTTTCGTCTTGCGAAGCAACCCTATTAGCGGATTAGCGGATTAGCGCTATTAGCGGCTTAGCGGCTTAGCGGCTATTAAAGGCTTAGCGGCTTAGCGGCTAAAAGGCTATTAGTGGCTTAGCGGCTTAGAAAAAGGGGGGGAGCGGGGAAAAATCGCAAGACTCGCAAGAGGTTTTCGTCTTGCGAAGCAAGCCCATAGGGAAAATCGTCTTGCGAAGCAACTCAAAAACGGAAAACCCTTTCGTCTAGCGGGTTTTTCGTCTTGCAAGGCATTCGTCTTGCAGGGCACCACTGTATTGTTATCAGTGAATAACAAAATTATTATTATTATTATTATTATTATTATTCACTGAAAGTCTCCCTCTGCTTGTTTATTGCATTTGGGAGGCTTCCAACACATACTTACTTAGGGATCATTAGGAAAGGAACTGAAAATAAAACTGCCAATAGCGTAATGCCCTTATACAAATCTACGGTGCGACCCGCACTTGGAATACTGTGGGGTTCTGGTCGCCTCGCCTCAAAAAGGGTACTGAAGAGCTGGAAAAGCTTTAGAAAGAGGCAAGCAAAACAGTCAGGGGGTGGAGCAAGTCCCTCATGGGGGAAAGTTGCAGTGTTTGAGGCTTTTTTGATTTAGAGAAAGGGTGAGCAAAGGGGGAGGTGATAGACGTGATTCTTTATGGTCCAGCTCACTATGCATACTGAGAGCTGGCCCATAAAGAAGGCTGATCGCCGAAGAATGGGTGCTTTTGAATTCTGGTGCTGGAGGAGAATCTTGAGAGTCCCATGGACTGCAAGAAGATCAAACCTCTCCATTCTGAAGGAAATCAGCCCTGAGTGCTCACTGGAAGGACAGATCCTGAAGCTGAGGCTCCAATACTGCAATATGCAGCTGTCCCAAACGGGGACTGAACCTGCAACTTTGGCGTTACTGGAACCACACTCTAACCAGCTGAGTTCTTGCGGAAGGGGTTAGAAAGGTCCAGGATCAGATCTGGACCTTTTTATCTCTCCTGGGCAGTGCGGCAAGCACACTTCCAAGGGAAACTCTGGGAAGAGACTGTTTTGCTCTGAGACCACTGCAGGCTTTTGTTTCAATCAAACCCCTCTCCCCACGCCAGCTTGGAGAACATTGCTTCCCTGCCCCCCCCCCCAGACTGCCTCTCCTCCTGCGTTGGACCCTTCAGCAGAACAGACGGATCCTACCAACGACAGCCCACATACAAGCCTAGTTCCATTCACCAACCTCCTGGGCGAGAGAAAATATATTTCTATTTTTAATTCCCAAACAGAACGAAGGCTGAAAAACACCAGGCATGGATTGCAGAAAAGCAGGAGGGAGGGGGGAGGGGAGCTCCATACAGCAAAGGCTTGCATCTTCAGCCACAGAGGGCAGGGAGGTCCGAGTTCAAATCCCGCCCTAGACATGAAGTCATGGCGTGGCCTAGACAAAGCTCACGCCCTCTTGGCACCTGTGTAAAATAATGAGTCACCTGCCACCTAAAGTAAGTTGCAACATGTGGGTCTTAATGGCACATCACATTAAAATGTGTAGTTTGCAGGTGTCCTCGGTATTTTGCATGCGTGCGCACGTTCATACTGAGCCCGGGCGCAGTAGTTTTCCTCAAGAGCGCAGCACAATTGCCATGAAAGCGTCACACAAACACACATTGTGCAGCAATTAGCTACACAATGGGGAGGGTCCTGGTGTAAATCAGTCCCCCTACTGCACTCAGTACACACACACACACCCTGATGATGCTGAACTGCAACTCTCATTTGCAGCAGCACAACCGGACGCCTTCCTCTGCCCCAGCTGCAACAAAACATGTCTCTCCTGTATCGGTCTCTACAGCCACAGCAGGTGCTGTGATTCTCCAGCCGTTTGACTTCACCCCCAAAGGCGTAGCCCTCCATTATCTCCCAAGACAGACAGATTCCAACAACTCCCATCAACCCCTGGAAGCACAGCCAATGGCCAGGGATGGTGGGTTTTGTAGTTCAGCAACAGGCAGATGACCAAAGGTGTTTTTTTATTATTCAATATATCTCCCCTGCCCACCAACAGAGGGTATTTCCATCAGGCCATCTCAGAGCCCAGGATTTGATGAGGAACAGGGTGCTTGCTGAGCAGATGGAACGAGGACCATGAGCTTTTCAACAGAGCATGGATGCCACGCCTTCAAACCTTGATGTTGTGGGATGTAAACACAGGAGCAGTCAATGACAACATTCCTAGAGTGTACATGTTAGAACATGGTGGGGATGTCTGTCCAGAAAGCAGGTAAACTTCCTGGGGACGGACTTCCTCCACATGTGACTAGAGGTGGGTGTGGCCTCACCTGTGCAGGTGATGACAAAAAGCACAGGGCAGGCAGCCATCTCTCTCTCTCTGCCATTTTCCTTCGATGAAGCAACATCTAAGGATGCTCTCTTGGCTCCCAGCCAAGAGAGGAGATAAGGCCTATCTTGCTATGAGATAGATTCTAAATCTATGTAACCTTTTTAAGCCTGTCTGCCGTCTGGGATCACATTGTGAACAGGACGTGAGTAAACTCTTTTATACTTTTATGAAGACTGTGTCGTGTCTTGTATTTTAAGAGGGAACTAAAGGGGAAATTACCAGGGTAATTATTATAGAGGTTCTAGCGAACCTGTGCACACGTTACCGTTGCGTACTAAAGGGGAATGTATGTAAACTCTGCTGATATTTTGGGAACTTGTTAGCACAAGTTGGATCAGGATATAATTAGTCAATATATCCTTTCCTGCACCCCAGAACATTCCCACAGATGTGACAACACTAGCGAGCGATCGTCACCTGTGCTACGAAAAGCTTGAGGCACTGATCACTGCTCGTCATGTAAGGCCACAGGGCAGGCCAACTGGGGTCAGCTGGCAACCGTGGAACCAAAGACCACAGCCACGTTATACATTTAAATAATAATAATAAATAATATTTTTTTATTTATACCCCGCCCTTCCCGGTTCAGGAAACCAGGCTCAGGGCAGCTAACAACAAATTTAAAACACTTAATTGATGCTACAAAAAAAAAACCAGCATAAAATACGGTATAAAGCGTAAATAACAATAAAATCAAGAATCAATTTAGGGGGGAAATCCATCCAATAAACATTAGATGATCACCAGGGCTAGCTGGCTAAGTTAGTCCTATTTGGGCCAGCGAGGAGACCAGGGGAGAATTAGCTGTGGGATCCCAGAGCGGGTGGTCTTCATAAAAAGGTGAGGGGGAGGGAAGGAAGGAAGGAAGGGAAATAAAAGATCAGGCTAAGTTCAAACTGAAAGCCAGGCGGAATAGCTCTGTCTTACAGGCCCTGCGGAAGGAAGTTAAATCTTGCAGGGTCCTGGTCTCATGGGACAGAGCATTCCACCAGGTCGGAGCCACCACTGAGAAGGCCCTGTCCCTGGTGGAGGATAGTCTGACTTCCTTAGGGCCTGGGACCTCTAAACTATGGTTATTCATGGACCTTAAGGTCCTCTGCGGGGCAGACCAGGAGAGGCGGTCCTGTAAGAAGAACATGGCTTCCCGCAAAAGCAAAAAACAACAACCCAAACTCTAGTTGTGCAATTGACGCCAGCCTGTCCATGCAGTGGGATTTTCTGCGTTTTTCCTTGGGAGCAAAACTCTAGTTCCCAAGATTCTTAAGCGGGAGGAGTCATGTGCATTAAATTTATGGTGTATTTGTGACCAAAGCAAGGTGGACGCGGTGGTGCTGTGGGTTAAACCACAGAGCCTCTTGGACTTGCCGATCAGAAGGTTGGGCGGTTCGAATCCCCGCGACAGGGTGAGCTCCCGTTGCTCGGTCCCTACTCCTGCCAACCTAGCAGTTTGAAGGCATGTCAAAGTTCAAGTAGATAAATAGGTACCACTCCGGCGGGAAGGTAAACGGCATTTCTGTGCCCTGCTCTGGTTCTCCAGAAGCGGCTTAGTCATGCTGGCCACATGACCCGGAAGCTGTACGCCGGCTCCCTCGGCCAATAAAGCGAGATGAATGCCGCAACCCCAGAGTTTCTGCAACTGGACCTAATGGTTAGGGGTCCCTTTACCTTTATCTTTAAGGTGGGTCTCTGCTGAACATCTCTCTCACAAACCGGAGCCATAGTGAGCGCCACCGGATTTTATTCTTCTAGCTATAAAATGCACAGTTGAAATTATAATCTGGCGCACAAAAGTGCCCCCTGAAAACCTTAGTGCCTTCACAGACTGGCTGGATTGACTCTCTCTCTCTGTCTGTCTCTCTCTCATCTCTGTCCCCTGGTCAATTATGATGTGCAGCTCCCTCTAATTTACTCCCTATATTCCGCCAGAGTGGGAATGAACGAGGACTTCCAACAGAGATTCTCCAGCTAACCCGCCGGGGTCAAGTCTCTTTAGATGCCGAAAGAGAGGGCAG